CCCCCCCCCTTACCCATAAGGCAAAATGTCAGTTTTTGAGTTCGGATGGTCTCTAGCCTATTCAGAGGATACAAAAGACTCAAGAAACCATCGAAGAATCTCATAGACGACCAATAAGCCCGGGTGTCAAAACTGCCAATTATACGCCGAATTGGCAACTTTGACCCCCAAAATGGGGGGTAAAACTTCGAGATAGGGAGAAATGCCCATTGACACTTTTGATCAGTAGGTTAAGACCTACAACATATCAAAACGCCAGCCGATTTAACCGGGCCCACTTTTCCCATAAGACCGGCCCGTCGTCCTTTGAAGTCTGGTGCTTTAATTTTTGCATGTAATGGGAAAATATTGCATGGCAAACTTCAATAAAAAGCTCAGGAGTTCACCTTCTTTCTGCCTGAATGACCAGTGTATCACTTTTTACAGTTTAATTCACATCCCGACAAAGGGTCTGTTTCTCTATTGCCATGGATACCTTAAAATTTCAAAAAAAAATTGTCTGCACAGCACACATCTGCGTTTGAACATGTGTAGCATCAGGAAATGGAATTATTTTTTTGAAAAAGTCCATTTTCAAGACATCCTTTGAAATTTCTCAATTCACCACTAGACAGGGCACAAAATTAAGCACGGCAGCAAATGTTTCCAAACCAAATTTACGTAACACATAGTGGATGCTCTGAAACTTTCCAAATTTAGCTCATAAGTGAATAAATAAAATAACTGTTCTCGTCCCTTGTTAATTCACTTTTCCTACCCCCCATAAAAAACCTGAGTCTATTATAGTAAAATCGAGTACTAAACTGATTTTTGGATACCTATTGATGGAAGTTCTGTACCGTTTTTTTGACAAGATCAAAAGGTTTTTTTATCAGAAGAGGAAAGAAATGTGTGTAAAACCGTTATCCAAGCTATTACCTAGTCGCAGGTATTGTCTAATGTAAAGATTGAATTCAGTACGCAGTTTAGCCTCCGTTGATCAGATTTATTTTGTGAGCAGAAAGTTTGAATTTACTGCTTGTAATGTAAATTAAAAATGTTAATTCCTCACTTGTGAGTTGATGTAGGAAGTTTTTGTTATGTTTAACAAGTTCTGCATGAAATTTTGTTGAGAAAGCATGTGCTGAAATGTACAATTTCTTGCCCTGTCTAGTGGATCATCTTTCTTCCAAGTTCTCAAAAATCCGTTCAAAATTTTTTGAAAGTTCTCAATTTAGATTTCAAAAAAGCTATTATGAACCACATTTTATCTCTAATATTTTTAACATAATGTAACCTTTGTTTTCTATCCGTAGATATGGACCAAGGCCGAGTAGAAGATATGAGAAAATTAGGAATCACGGAATCCTACGTCGTCAAAAGGCAAGTACTTCTCTCTGCATCTGAAGCTGCGGAAATGATTCTACGTGTAGACGATATCATTAAAGCTGCTCCGAGAAAACGAACAGAAGATCGCGGCCATTGCTAAGACCGATCAATCAACTTTAATTTTGCCTGTGTTTCAAAGGCCGGTGATATTACGTTGATACTGGCAGAAGGTTCTTTTGCCAGTGACACCAGGCGGAGAAGATCAAACTGATGTCAGCTGTGTTTATTGCTTTGTTTTCCTACTAATATATTATTTTAAAGTTAGGTTTAAGATTCCCCGTGCTGTTTCATCCTTTTGTTAATCGATTGCATTTTGTACAAGTTTTTACACATCGCACTTTCCATCCATCAATTTTTTGTATCTGCAAGATAACATCCTTTAATGCTTGTCATTAATTCAATAAAAAATGAAATATTTTCTTTTTTAAAACGCTGAGTTATTGGATACAAACCAAAGCTGTATGAAAATTTTATAATGACGAAGTCACTTAAAAATCACATAACTTGATTATGGTGCCTTAAAAGTTTTACTTTGAATTAGACTACTTTCAGTATTAAGGAGCAACTAATCCTTGTTCATCCTATAAGTACGCATCTGTGGAAAGAAAGTAATAGCACATGTGCTGTTTCCAAAGTGCGTCATATATAGCAGTTCCTTATTGCGAAATGCACTTTGCTAATTATTTTTGTGGGAAAGCAATTAAATCCCATTTCACATTAGGAACTGTTTCTGGTTCACTTTAAAAACTATCACACCTATGTGCTATAGGCTCTTTTATAGATGAGTGAGGAAAAGTAGTTTCTTTTTGCAAAACGCAGTTCAAATAGGTAAACTTCTTTGCCTCAAATTTTCACAGGATCTCTTACTGATAGAAAAAAATAGCAGGAACTCTGCAGATGTTGCTAAAATTCTCTTTTAAAAAATTTGCAACATCACAAATCAAGTTAAGTGTTACTTTCAGATTCCAAATCCTCAAGCATAACTAAATGTCATTCTCAGTGAAGGTGATTTTTGTCTCCGCACTTCTTAAACTATGAACTGTAAAATTCTTTAATCAAAGTAATAGACGCGATTTTTGATCGACTCTCATACAATATATCTTAATCGATACTCTTTTTTGATTGTTTTGGAATATCGAAAGTAAAAACAAGCATGTTTACCCAGAATGAAAAGGTAAAATTGATATTACGCAATGAAAAAACTCTGCTGTGTATTGCAGCAACTTTAAGTTGTTGCCAGAGCTGGATTTACATTTTTAGAACCCTAAGCTGGACTTCGACTGGCGCCCCAACAGAAGCAGGCAGGAGGTCTTAAGGCAGTTTTGAAATGTTCCATTGCAAAAATTCTCTCACTAGAAAAATGCTAATTTTGAAAAATAAAAAGCAATAAAAGACTCAAAAAATACAAATTTCATGTCTAGATACTGATGGTTTAGAAGTCTCAAAAATTTTGCTCCTGTCAGAATGTTGGATTCTCAGAGAAAGTTTTGTCAAACAATGTTTTAAGCATACGCTCAATATGTTGACATATACATCATAAACATAAAACAAAATTAACAGGATCCTTAAAGGGAGCTTTAAGGGGATCTAACTTTGAGGCTCAGAATTTCTACAGAAGCCTACAATGGTCTGTTTTATTAATTAAGAACTCGAGATTTGGCCGTCAAATGGATGAAATTCTGTGGTCATTTATGACGAAGCATTTTTGGGGGGAGTCAGGGAATTTTTTGAGCGTAACTGAAAATAAGTGCCTCTTTTCACCATCTGAATCGCTGACCGGAGCTAAATTCCGGTCATTCAACAAAGGAAGAGGAATCAAAAATCAAGTAGAAGTTATGTTTGAAAATTAGGGAAAGTCAAGACAAATTCNGGGGGGGGGGGATCTGGGAAAATTAAGGGAATTTTAACATAGATAACTCATGGGAACTTTTATCATGAGTTTGGAAAGTTTCAGTGAACAGCAGAGCCTTTAGCCCTCAAGTAAATGCGGACTGTGAGAAACTAGCTCTTCAAAATACAAATTAGCCTCTCATACCTACTTAAAGCTACCTATAAACTCCATATTTCGTCTTTTACTAACAAATATAAAAATTGTAATTCTTTCTCAACCGAAGGGCTTGGAGGACAAGACGCATAAGTGCAGTTTCCGAAAAAAAATTAGAGATTGATGATTTCAAGTAAAACTAGTCTTAATGCATATTCTGTGAAAAATTCGCTTCCAAATTTCAATTTTTAAGAATCAAAAAGTCAGTTTAAACTTTTTTTCTGCCATAAAAATCCATGTAATTCAGGGCTGGATTAAAGGGGTGGCCAATTTTGCAATTTTTTAAAATGTAGGTATAAAAAATAATCGGATTCAGAAAAAAAATTACAAACGAGAAAAGGCTACAAAATCTCTCATTTCCTGAGAGTATAGTAATTTCTAATTTTGTCGTCTTTCAGTGATACAAGAGACAGCACCTTTAATTAGTCGAGTTAAGCGAGAAACCAAACACACAATTAGGCCTGGAACGGCGTGACGTAGGGAGAAATGATGACGAGGACTTGAGATGAAAAGGAGAAGCCCTCGACGTGGCAATCGGCATGTAACACATATTAGCGCCTACAAGACTGCACGAATACTTCACGCGTTGCATCAAACACAGTGCGGTTATTGTGGTCAGCGTGAAACGGATAGCGCCTACATGAATGCATGAATACTTCACGCATTGCGCCAAACACAGTGCGGTCAGCGTGAAACGCATAGCGCCTACAAGACTGCGTGAATACTTCACGCATTGCGCCAAACACGGTGCGGTTGGCGCGGCGCGACGTGGCGGCGGAAGTTAAAATCATTAGACCAAATTTTGTATTTGTTCTTTCATAATTTTTTCGTTCATTTCTTATGAATGGAAGGCCTTGTCCATTAGAGAAGAGATAGGTTTACGAAACTTGACTTTCGCGCAAAGTTCCGTGACCTTTTGCGAGTCGTGTTGACAGGGCTTTCCCAAAAAATGTGTTCAACACGAGTAAACGCATCTTATGCACCCCTCCCCTGCTGGCACGTTCACTTGATGGTTTTTATTGATGTTTCAAAACGAATGAGAAGGGGGCGGCAAAATAAAGGCGGCCCCATGGGCGGCAAGTAGGAAAATCCGGCCCCATGGGCGGCAAGTAGGAAAATCCGGCCCTGATGTAATTTCGAAACTTCAAACATATGTATTTCTCGACATAGCAAAAACTAGACTTATGCGCCTTGTCCTTTAAACCCCTGAACTGAATTTTTCCCCAAAAGTGATTAACTTCTTGCAAAAATTTACGATCGGGATCCTTTAAATACTACCCAGGGGAGGGGGGGTGTTCCTTTCAGCCCTTCTGGCTGCCGCCCCAGAAACCTCACGTGATCATCGTTCAGACAGCCAGTTCTGCCGCGCTAAGGAAGAACGCCGTAACAACATACGAGAGTCGCCAAATTTCCCTCGAGGAGATGTTTATTTTTGAGGCAAGTTATGAATATTTTTCCTCTAAATTTTCAGGAACTTGAGGGCCCAGCTACACACGGTGAATAATCGTCGCGAGTAAAAGACGAGAGCCAATGGAGAGCCTTGATTTCGATCCATTGACACGGATACATCGGAATCAAGGCTCTCCATTGGCTTTCGTCTTTCACTCGCGGGGATTAATCGCCGCACAGTGGATCGAGTCAATAGGAGAGGTCGGACAAAATTCGGAAACTTTAAACGCTTATAACTCAGTTCATACAAAACTGCATCGTTCTGAAAGTGGTTTCATTGGTTTTCTCGTGAAATTTTCTTTGGAAAGCACCCCTTGAAATTTAACAAGTGACGAAATAAACATCAAAATTTGCAGTTTTAGTCAAAAATTTCATGTCCGACCTCGCTAATTGACTCGATCCACTGTGCGACGTGTGTATTTAGGCCTTTAGGTGAAATTGGGAACGAGATTATCTGAAAAATCGGGATGAAAATATTCATATGTTTATCAGGAAATTAGTGTTCTATCAAAGGAAATTTGGACGTATTTCTACCAAACAGACCTATGTGGAGGTGAGAAATATGGGGTGTGCTCGTTGAAGCTGCATAAGAAGCAATGTAAAAGTGGGCGTGATTCCTTTGAAGAATTGGACGTATTTCTATCAAACAGAACTATGTGCATTATGACGTGAGCCCTGTTATGCACATATCCTTATGGATCTCAGGGCTCATGTCTTAATGCACATAGGTCTATTTGATAGAAATACGTCCAATTGGAAAAGCGGGATTTTACATTCTATCAAACAGACCTATGTGCCAACTGAATGCGGGACTCATGAGCCGCGGGCATGGCAAGAGAGCCTTGTGAACAGGGCTCATGAGTTAAAGCCCCCCGACGACGTTCGCCTTCGTTCCGCTCCCGCTCCTTCATTGCTGCTGACGTCACTGGCGCTTTATTATTCTCATTCACTCTTACGGCCAGAGAACTAGCGAGCACACCCCATATTTCTCACCTCCACATAGGTCTGTTTGATAGAAATACGTCCATTTGACAACGCTTGAAGGTTCTTACGGCGTTTTTCCTTAGCACGACAGAGTTCTTGAGACCCTGGAACGGGCTGGGAGGCTACGCGAGGAAAAACGAGTTGGTTTCGGGCAGCGGCCAGCGCTGGTCTGACTGTAATGACAGGCCCACGATCCCACC